AATTTGTTCCTTGTTTTTTATCGCTTTTTCTTGCATTATTCTTTCTGATATAATAATTGACTATTTGGCATCATAGAAAAGTAGGTGGAGCTTATATGCACTTCTAGCCAATCAGGAACCATCTGGGAACACAAGCAGTATTCCCGCTCCAGAGAGCCAGGAGAAATCACTTCATTATTACGCTTATATCAACTCCATGGCTTATTTATCTATCAGAATTGATATAATATGATATAATAAACACTATAAATAACATACAAACATGTTATATACTCTAGACTGAATAAAATAGGCCATAATATGGCGAGAGTCCACCAGAAATATTTCGATATAAATGAGTTACTCATCTCCATGTCGTATTCTCTGGTCTTTGAGTAAGAGAAAACAGTGTTTTGAAGAGGATAACTACACTAGAACATCACTTTACTAAGAAACCCACCGAAACAAATGAGATTTTCGCAAAATTTTTTTTTTCGAGACGGCCGGCCGGCCGGCGTTCCAGGCCAATATCTTGGAAGTAACTTATTCACTTATTTCGCTTATTTCCCCCTTATTACTTAATTAAATGGAATATAATTCACAAAAATTGTAGAATAATGATTTCTCTAATTTGCTATTATTTATTTTTGGAAAAAATTCCAAATACTTTGGGATTTATGTGGGAGTAAAGGGCATATTTTTTGCAACTTTCCAAGAACTAACAAACTATTTTTTTTGTGAAATAAAGTTATTTAGAGGAAAGGAAACACTGAAAAATTCGTATTAGCATTGTTCTCTCGGCACCAAGTGTCCAAACAACCTTACGTCATCCCATATAGGAATACCTTCCTGCCAAAGGGCATTTTCAGTAAATCAGTCCTTTCTCAGTTGTTGTTTGAGGTATCTTATTGATAAATATTTACAGGAAATAGAGAAAACACTTCGTCTTCTGCACCAAAACTGAAGAAAATCCGACGGTAAACAAAAAAGCAACAATTTTTTTATAAAGAGCGCCAGAAATTGGATGACTGGCCCCTTAAACCCTTTGAGGGTCGACAGGCCCTCTCCGAGACTTGTTCTCAGGGTCGGCCAAATTTCAAAAAAAAAAGAAAATTATTTTTTCTCATGAAAAGATAGAGAATCTTTTCCCAATCATAATGACACCAAAAGTATGAAATTTGATGGAAAACTTACGGAATTATGCTCTCGCGAAGTTAGCGGTCTTGACGATGTTTATGCATCGGCGATTTTGCCCACTTTTATCCCTATTTTTGGCCACTTCCTGTGTACTAGTCGACAAAAATCATAACTATTTCTCTAGAACTCCGTTTTTTCCATTGAATGAGTACAAGAAACCACCCATTTACTGATTTCAACTATCCAATACAGTGGTCAGAATTTAGCAATTTTGCCAATTTCACACAAATTTCAAAAGATGCCAATTTCCAAATAGGGTCCAGAATAAACAAGAAAGACATTCTTGGCACTAAAATAGCATTTCCTCTGTTCGTTAGTGACATCTCCAGGCCCCTCTTATATTTCTTTGGCTTTCCACTTTGAATTTTTATTCTTACAAAAAATAGAAGATTTACTGTTATGCAGACTACTGCATTAGTGTAGAAATGGTATAAATAATATCAGCGCACTTGTGAAAGAATATTAGACTCACCAGTTGATGAGTATTGGACGCTTGGCATGATTTATTTACTTTTGAACTTTGGTAAAAATCGAATATTCCTGCTACTTTGAGCTCAATTTCAAGGTACTTTTCATTGCAAAACCAGTCAAAATCATCTCAATTTCTGTAATATGTCTTCCATTCTATAAAATGAGACCAGGAAAACTAGAATACAATAATAAATACCATACGAAAATAGAGTGCAAAGTCGCTGTTTTATTCCAAAAACACGGTCAAAGTTTTTTTTTTCTCATTATGCACTGTGTGCTGCACGATTTTTTTTATACTGTGCACACTGACCACAAAGACCCATTCTTTCATATGTATGCCTACCAGCTTTCTCTCCCTAGATTTGAGGGCGCTAGAATTTAGGCGTACTAGTACATCAAAAACCCTGGGTCGTAAGCCATACTAGTACGGCCAAAACCCTCAAAGGGTTAACCACTGTATTTCTTTGTACATCTATGTAACTTGTCCAAATAAATAATAAATAAATAAATAAATAAAATAATAAAATAATAATAATCACTGAGGTGCATTAAATGTGTAAAAAACATTAATATAGATATTTTGCTTAATCCATCTATGATTTTTTTTCAGAATTATATAATAAACATGCTACGTAACATATAAACATATAAATTAACAAATATGTGATGTTTTCCTGGTCGGCTTGACAGAGTGATCAAAAACCATTCGTGTCCAGGCTGGTAACAACAACAACAAGTAGTTCGTTAACAAAACTCACGAACCTTCTACACTCTCATTATCTCTCTCGTTTATTCATTTAATCTTGTTTACTCATCTCTTACTCTACATTAAGACTACAGATATTTTAAGGTAAGTAATGAGTGAACACAATTATTATAGTTTAATAATAATATTATTCCTAGGTAGTAGGTTGGTAGACAGCAACCGCCCAGGGAGGTACTACCGTCTTGCCGAGTGAGTGTAAAATGAAAGCCTGTAATTGTTTTACATGATGGTAGGATTGCTGGTGTCCTTTTTTTTGTCTCATGAACATGCAAGATTTCAGGTACGTCTTGCTACTTCTACTAACATTTAGGTCACACTACACATACATGTACAAGCACATATATGCACACCCCCCTGGGTTTTCTTCTATTTTCTTTCTAGTTCTTGCTCTTGTTTATTTCCTCTTATCTCCATGGGGAAGTGGAACAGAATTCTTCCTCCGTAAGCCATGCGTGTTGTAAGAGGCAACTAAAATGCCGGGAGGAAGGGGCTAGTAACCCCTTCTCCTGTATAAATTACTAAATTTGAAAAGAGAAACTTTTGTTTTTCTTTTTGGGTCACCCTGCCTCGGTGGGATACGGCCGGTTTGTTGAAAAAAAAAATTATTATTAAACTATAATATAATAATCGTGATCACTCATTACTTACCTTAAAATATCTGTAGTCTTAATGTAGAGTGAGATGTGAGTAAACAATATTAAATGAATAAATGAAAGAGAGAATGAGAGTGTAGAAGGTTCGCAAGTTATGTAAACAAACTAGTTGTTGTCGTTGTTACCAGCCCGGACATGAATGGTCTTTGTTCACTCTGTCAAGCCGATCAGAAAAACATCTCATATTTGTTAATTTATATGTTTATATGTTACGTAGCATGTTTATTACATAATTTTGAAAAAAAAAATCATAAATGGATTAAGCAAAATGTTTATAATAACGTTTTATACACATTTAATGCACTTCAGTGATTATTATTATTATTATTATTAGTAGTAGTAGTGGTACATACATACATACATATAAATCTAAACTTACTCCCTGTTCAGTACATCCACACTTACTACTGTGCAATCTACATCTACAGGACCTTAAATTCCAATATTAACCTTGACCTAAAATGCTTTCTTGATAGTTGTGACAGAACTCACAGGCATAACACCAGACACACACATCTCTTTGACATTCCCCGTGTCCGACTAAACCTTTACAAAAATTCTATGTATGTTAAAGGGTCTAAAATCTGGAACACCCTACCTGAAAGCTCTAGAACTGCAGACACATTCATCACCTTCAAAATTACCGTTAGACAACATCTTTATCTCCCTGATACACCCCGACAACTAACTACTTGAAAACCACCTGTTCACACTTACACTCACTCACCCACTTGACTATAATCACAGAAATATGAATCTTAATCATAAAATAATGAATCCTAACTAGTCATAAGTTTGTCTGTGATATTACAATATAGAACCTGTGTATTGTGCCAAAACAATAGCATTTACATTGCTAAACTCACAAACTATAATGTAGTCACTTAGCCTTAATACCAGCTTACTCCATAATCTGTATTAACTTAGAGTTAAGAATTAATCTAAGTCTGCCCGAAATGCCTAGCCATGCTAGGTGTCCTAGTGGCCCCCTCTGTAATTAGTATTTTATAACATGTAAACCACACAATATCCAAAATCTGTAAACCCCACACTGTAATCTTTATAGAGAATAAACTTGATTGATTGAATTTAGGGCACTGGAGCACAGATCCACTGTATAGCACTGTCTGGATTTTTTGGGTTATCCTAGGTAATTTATGCTATGTATGATAACTTCACTTATGTGTACCTGTGTGTGTGTGTGTGAGTGAGTGAGAGTGAGAGTGAGAGTGAGAGTGAGAGTGAGAGTGAGAGTGAGTGAGAGAGAGAGAGAGAGAGAGAGAGAGAGAGAGAGAGAGAGAGAGAGAGAGAGAGAGAGAGAGAGAGAGAGAGAGAGAGAGAGAGAGAGAGAGAGAGAGATACAGATAGAGAGAGAGATACAGATAGAGAGAGAGAGATACAGATAGAGAGAGAGAGATACAGATAGAGAGAGAGAGATACAGATAGAGAGAGAGCCACATTCAGTCAGCCAGTCAGCCAACCACCCACCCACCCGGCCAGCCAGCCGGATATTTATTACACGTTCCAAAGTTGTTTCTCTTTACTTAGGGTATAGGTTATAATTCATTCTGGCAGGAAGACACTACCAGTGGTATTCTCCCATTCCACTGTGTCAACAATACTTAAAGATAACAGAAACATATGATACTGTATGAGATGTAAAATTTACAATACAGTTCGCTACCATGTATACATATTATACAATACATAAATAATTAAAATATATCAATAGAAGTAAATTATGGTAAAAAGAATTAAATAATGATTGTACATTACATTACAGTACTATGTAGGTAGTTTATATAGCAAAGGTTTGACATTATGCTGTACCCAGTATGTCGGCAATTTTCAAAGGTTCGACTTACGTCCATTTTGACTTACGACCGGTTGGTTGGAACCAAGCTTGGTCGTAAGTCAGATGGTAGGTGTATTACCTGCCTCCAGTGTTGCAAGTCCTTCAGTAGACGCGATTTGATGTGTTCATCATACAGGAACTGAGAGAAGACGTGGAACTTCCGTCGTAAGAACTGATAAGTGAAGTTCACCTGGTTGAAGAACATGGCAAATATTTATATAAATAGTATATTAGTTGAGTATACCTGGTAAAGTGTATGGTAGAGCAATTACTGAAAGAATTAGGAGAAAGATGGAGAGCAGGATCGCAGACAAACAAGGAGGCCTTAGGAAGGGTAGGGGGTGTGTAGACCAAGTGTCTACTGTGAAATATATAGATGAACATTATTTAGATAAGGGTAAAGAGGTTTTTGCTGCATTTATGGATTTGGAAAAGGCGTATGATAGGGTAGATAGAGAACGCTGGTTATTGAAAGCAGTGAAGAGTTTTTATGAGGATAGCGAGGCCCAGGTTAGAGTATGTAGGAGAGAGGGAGATTATCTCCCGGTAAAGGCAGGACTTACACAGGGATGTGTGATGTCACCATGGTTGTTCAATATACAGTAGGGCCCACTTATATGGCAGGTTAGGTTCCAGGCTACTGCCGTAAAGTGGAACACCCTTTTTGCCACTTATAAATGCATGGAAATACTAGATAACAAATTTACACTAACATATATTAAGTTAGCAATAGAACTAGGCATTAAAAACAACAAAAAAGTAAAATACAAATATGTATAGTACACTCATTACTTACCTTAAAATATTTATAGTCTTACTCTAGGGTGAGATGAGTAGTATTTATTGTAGGAAATCATGTGTGGTATGTATGGTAGCCAGCCAGGCTACCATACTAGGCCAACCCTCCCACACATAATATTCTATGACATTTAAGCATCCCTGAGCGATAAAATGCATATACAGTTCACTCATTACTTACCTTAAAATATTTGCAGTCTTAATGTTGGGCCAGAGGTGAGTTAATGAGATAAAATGAATAAATGAGAGAGAGAGAAAATGAATACATGAGAGAGGACACTCACAGAGTTATGTAAACAAACCAGGCAAACACATCTGGTTTGTGGCCCAAAAAAAGCGGCAGCAACAGCGGAGGCAGCAAGCTCTATCATTTTTCTCACCTGCAGAGCCCATCAATGCTTCTATGATGGCCTAATTGCAATCACAACTGCACTAACGTACGTAGAACCCAGCATGACCCAAGATAAACAACAGTGATACCTACAAACCGAAAAATTACTGATTGAAGCAAAGACTGCCTCACAAACTCCAACCACAGCCCCGCTGCCAGACGACTACCTACTCCAAGCTCTTAACTAATTTAATTTCTTCATCTAACCACAGCAACTCCTGTACAGTGGACCCTCAGCTAATGATATTAATCCGTTCCTGAAAGCTCATCGTTAGCTGAAATTATCATTAACTGAATTAATTTTCCCCATAAGAAATAATGGAAATCAAATTAATCCATGCAAGTCACCACAAAGTATGAAAAAAAAATTTTTTTTACAACATGAAATATTAATTTTAATACACACAAACAGACACCTACCTTTTTTGAAGATCTGGTGATGATTGATGGGATGTGAGGAGGGGAGAGTATGGAAGTTGTTAATGTTTAGAAGGGGAATCCCCTTCCATTAGGACTTTAGGTAGCACGTCCTTTTCCGGGGTTACTTCCCTTCTTCTTTTAATGCCACTAGGACCAGCTGACCATGGTGGACCAACAGCTGACTGTGGTGCAGCAACAGCTGACTTTGGTGCAGCAGCAGCTGACCGTGGTGCAGCAACAGATGACGGTGGTGTAGCAGCAGCTGACTGTGGTGCAGCAGCAGCTGACTGTGGTGCAGCAGCAGCTGACTGTGGTGCAGCAGCAGCAGCTGACCATGGTGCAACAGCAGCTGACTGTGGTGCAGCAGCAGCAGCTGACCATGGTGCAACAGCAGCTCACCGTGGTTCAGCAACAGCTGACTGGTGCAGCAGCAGCTGACCGTGGTGCAACAGCAGCTCACCGTGGTTCAGCAACAGCTGACTGGTGCAGCAACAGCTGACCATGGTTCACCAACAGCTGACTGTGGTGCAGCAGCAGCTGACCATGGTGCAGCAGCAGCTGACCATGGTGCAGCAGCAGCTGACCGTGGTGCAACAACAGCTCACCGTGGTTCAGCAACAGCTGACTGGTGCAGCAGCAGCTGACCATGGTGCAGCAGCAGCTGACTGTGGTGCAGCAGCAGCTGACCATGGTGCAGCAGCAGCTGACCATGGTGCAGCAGCAGCTGACTGTGGTGCAGCAGCAGCTGACTGTGTAAACAGTCAAAGGGTTAAGGGTTAAAAACAATAAAAAGTAAAATACACACACAGTACACCCATTACTTACCTTAAAATATTTGAAATATTTGTAGTCTTAATGTAGGGTGAGAAGTGAGTTTTACATACAAGAAGTCAGGTTTGGGAAGAATGGTAGCCAGCCAGGTCAGCCCACCACACACACACGTAATATACTATGACATTTAATTAAAGCGCCCCAGAGTGATAAAATACATATACAGTACATTCATTAATTACCTTAAAATATTTGTAGTCTTAATGTAGGGTGAAAGGTGAATTTTATTTGTAGGAAGTCAGGTTTGGGAAGTATGGTAACCAGCCAAGGCAGCTGTCCCTGCCGCACCCCACCCACATGTGACATAAAGAAACCAGGGGAATGAACGCGCCTGAGTTTCTTTCATACACGTTCATATTATACCATAATACAAACACTTCACATTGTGTACAAGTTGTCTCCATGTTGATACAGTAGAATAAATAAAGAGAAATGCTCCCATTCTCATGTAACACCATTTTTAGAAGAAATAACACTCTGAGTGAAGGCATACGAAAGGAATAATTTTTTAGTTACTCCCAGTAATATTATAGTGTACACATTTTCTGTGTACACTATAATATTACTAGGTAGTAGGTTGGTAGATAGCAACCACCCAGGGAAGTACTACCGTCCTGCCAGATGACTGTGAAATAGAAACCTGTAACTGTTTTACATGATGGTAGGATTGCTGGTGTCTTTTTCTGTCTCATAAACACGCTGGATAACAGGGATATCTCTCTACTACTACTTACACATTGGTCACACTTCACAGGCATGCACATGCATATATATATATATATATATATATATATATATATATATATATATATATATTATAGGTAGTAGGTTGGTAGACAGCAACCGCCCAGGGAGGTACTACCGTCCTGCCAAGTGAGTGTAAAACGAAAGCCTGTAATTGTTTTACATGATGGTAGGATTGCTGGTGTCCTTTTTTCTGTCTCATGAACATGCAAGATTTCAGGTACGTCTTGCTACTTCTACTTACACTTAGGTCACACTACACATACATGTACAAGCACATATATACACACCCCTCTGGGTTTTCTTCTATTTTCTTCTAGTTCTTATTCTTGTTTATTTCCTCTTATCTCCATGGGGAAGTGGAACAGAATTCTTCCTCCGTAAGCCATGCGTGTTGTAAGAGGCAACTAAAATGCCGGGAGCAAGGGGCTAGTAACCTCTTCTCCTGTATATATTACTAAATGTAAAAGGAGAAACTTTCGTTTTTCCTTTTGGGCCACCCCGCCTTGGTGGGATACGGCCGGTGTGTTGAAAGAAGAAGAAAGATATATATATATACATCTAGTTTTTTCTTCTTTTTTTTCTAAATAGCTCTTGTTCTTATTTATTTATTCTATTGTCCATGGGAAAGTGGAAAAGAATCTTTCCTCCGTAAGCCATGTGTGTCGAATGAGGCGACTAAAATGCTGGGAGCAATGGGCTAGTAACCCCTTCTGTAAACATTTACTAAAAAGAGAAGAAGAAAAACTTTATAAAACTGGGATGCTTGAATGTGCGTGGATGTAGTGCAGATCACATGAAAGACATAATTCCTGATGTTATGAATGAAAAGAAGTTGGATGTCCTCGCCCTAAGCGAAACAAAGCTGAAAGGGGTAGGGGAGTTTCGGTGGGGAAAAATAAATGGGATTAAATCAGGAGTATCTGAGAGACTTAGAGGTAAGGAAGGGGTAGCAATAATGTTGAAGGATCAGCTATGGAAGGAGAAGATAGAATACGAATGTGTAAATTCAAGGATTACGTGGATTAAAATAAAGGGTGGATGCAAAAAGTGGGTCATAATAAGCATGTATGCACCTGGAGAAGAGAGGAGTGTAGAGGAGAGAGAGAGAGATTTTGGGAGATGTTAAGTGAATGTATAGGAGCCTTTGAACCAAGTGAGAGAGTAATTGTGGTAGGGGACCTAAATGCTACAGTAGGAGAAACATTTAGAGAGGGTGTGGTAGGTAAGTTTTGGGTGCCAGGTGTAAATGTAAATGTGAGCCCTATGATTGAACTTTGTATAGAAAGGGGTTCAGTTATAGGTAATACATATTTTAAAAAAAAGAGGATAAATAAGTATACAAGATATGATGTATAGCGTAATGACAGTAGTTTGTTGGATTATGTGTTGGTAGATAAAAGACTGTTGAGTAGACTTCAGGATGTATATGTTTAAAGAGGGGCCACAGATAGATCACTTTTTAGTTGAAGCTACAGTGAGAGTAAAAGGTAGATGGGATACAAGGAGAATAGAAGCATTAAACATAAGAACATAAGAACATAAGAAAGGAGGAACACTGCAGGAGGCCTGCTGGCCCATACTAGGCAGGTCCTTTACAATTCATCCCACTAACAAAACATTTACCCAACCCAATTTTCAATGCTACCCAAGAAATAAGCTCTGATGTGAAAGTCCCACTCAAATCCAACCCTTCCCACTCATGTACTTATCCAACCTAGATTTGAAACTACCCAAAGTCCTAGCCTCAATAACCCAACTAGGTAGACTGTTCCACTCATCAACTACCCTATTTCCAAACCAATACTTTCCTATGTCCTTTTCTAAATCTAAACTTATCTAATTAAAATCCATTACTGCGGGTTCTCTCTTGAGAGACATCCTCAAGACCTTATTAATATCCCCTTTATTAATACCTATCTTCCACTTATACACTTCGATCAGGTCTCCCCTCATTCTTCGTCTAACAAGTGAATGTAACTTAAGAGTCTTCAATCTTTCTTCAT